CACACACACACACACACACACACACACACACACAGAGGAACCTCCCCCCTCCGAAATATAAAACCTCTGGGAACGAACAAATTAACACAATTACAATCTTCCATGGACCACATACTAATAAAGTCCATAATGCATAGGTCATCAAGCCCCTTGCATGTATTATTGTCTACGTTGCCTTCTGTCCTACAAGGTTTTAAACCTTAACTGTATACCAGGACCTGGTCTTTCCAAAAATGAGACTCTTGAACCTCCCACCGCCCATGACATAAGTAAAGTACAGAGTGAAACCAGTACAAAAAACAAACAAACACATAACGTATAACATGCTGAAACCTCAAAGCCTAGATACACCAAAGACATGAAAATGAAAAGCCAGACTTTCCAATAACCTGGGCCAGAAAACATATAACATGAAACAAGCAGTGAGTAAATGAAGCTCTAATTGCCTTGATAAGAGGGTAAAACAGAGCTTGTTGGTCTTGAATTAAGTCCATGGAAGCTATCAGGATCGGACAGAGAAAACATTCCCATGGCTCCAGCTGATTGTCACAGCAGAAGAAAAAGAAAGAAGGAATATCAGAAAGGCAGGAAAAGACAAACAGAAGGAATGCTAAAACAAAAAAAATCTGACTCACGTATGTAGAAGGTTCCTGCTCTCGGAAATGTCAAAGTGCACAGGGCGCTCTCTCGAGAACTGTTGGCAGTGATGTTCATAGAGTCGGTGGAGAGCTCAGACCGGCACAGCAACTCCAATGTGTTCTCCCACTCCGGCTCAATCAGGGGCTCTGGAGCAACAGTCAAAGAATAATCAGTTTTAGTTTTCGTGAGAGTTTTATGGTACTTGCAACACAGTTAGATAAGTGCCGAAGATTAGAGATTAGAGAGACTAGATAGCAAGCAAAATAATATAAAAGAAGGAAAGATATCGACGATATATGGTTGATAGAAAAGAAAGAACAAAGTAATATTCATTTAAAAGAAAGAGGAAAGATATGGACGGTAGATGTTTGATTTTTTTAAAAGAAGGAACAAACCACACCAGAGCACCCGCCAATCACACACAAAGAATAATCAAGGGCGGAAAAGTATAGAATGCAGTTGAGTACATTAATACAATAAACCATAATAAAAAACCTGAACAAATGCAACACTTGTTTAAAGCTGGAGAAAGTAATGAAGAAAGAGATTTCGAATAAAAGAGAAGCAGGCGTAGTTTTTTGGTTAGAACAGTCACTTGATGCTAAGAAAAAAGCAAGACTGGTAGAAACGGCAAAGAGAGAGAGAGAGAGAGAGAGAGAGAGAGAGAGAGAGAGAGAGAGAGAGA